AATATTTAAGGGATTTATTTAATAAATAGAAGAAGATCAAGAACTATGAACAGTAAAATGATAACAAACTCACAACTATCAACAACTGAACCTAAAAAACAGAAACAAAAACTAAGTAAACAACTAGACCAGGAATAGAATCACAGGAATGGAGATCACATGGAGGGTTATCAGCAGGGAGGGGGAAGGGGAAGAATGGGGGAAAAGGCACAGAGAATTAGAAGCATAAGTGGAAGGTACAAAATAGACAGGGGGAGGTTAAGAATAGTATAGGAAATAGAGAAGCCAAAGAACTTACATGTACAACCCAAGGACGTGAACTAAGTAGGGGGGAATGCTGGTGGAAGGGGGAGGTGCAAGGAGGAAAGGGAAGGGAGATAAAGGGGAGAAAAAAATTGGGGTAACTGTAATATAAAAAAATTAAGATTTTTTTCCCTGATGACAAACATCCGAAGACTACCCTTTGGTGGGGGGGGGCAGGGGGCGGGAAGGAATCAACTCTAAAAAGCCTATACTATATTGATTAGGTCACCTTCTTTAACCTCTAGGATTAAAGATTTCATTCATTCAGCAATAATTATGTGTTGATTTCCTTCCACAGAGCAGACACTGAGTTACATGCTGGGGATACAGTGGAGACCAAGGCTGGTTTCATGCCATCTTGGAGTTTACAGCCAACTGACCAAAGAAAAAGTCCCTCCTGTGGTCCACCTTGGCTGTCGGGGCTTTCAGCACAGGCCCTCACCGTATCAGCCCTGTCACCAGGTGCTGCCCGTGGGACGAGGGTCTCTGGGCTTTCTGCCACCCGAACTGCTGGGCCTTGAGACAAATATTTCCACTAAACCAATCCCTGAATATCCACCGGGGCCACAGGCCCAGAGGCACAGAGACAGGAGGCCCCAACTGAGAGGAGCCACGGTTAAGGCCCCCCCCACAAAAACGTGGATGAGTCATCCTTTCCTTGGATGGGAGTGGTTTTCACTTCATTCACTCACCTCCCCCCTCCCCAGGAGCCTGTCTTTAGCCCATGTCTTTACTAAAACGACTCCGAGAATTACCAGCTCTGAGAGCTCCCGGCAGACTGTGGGAGTCGGTGGTGGGGAAGGCCAGGGAGTCTGCCCTGATTCCGCATTGGCTCCGCTGAGCACCCTGTGTGGGCTCAGAGGCCTCAGGTGAGGGAAGAGCCCAGGTGGGGGGACGGCAGGATGGCTTGAGTGAGTTGAGTGAGCTGGGGACAGTCTTCAAGCTTGAAGCATTGGCGAAAGCCATGGTCGAATGGAGCCTATGACCACAAGGCAAAGGTTTTGTTTTTATTTCATTGATGCCAAATAAATTTAAGACTTAAGATTTATGAGAATTATAAGCCAATATGTTTGCAGATGTTATAAGGAAAAGTTCTGTTACTAACCAATCAATTCATATAATTTTAAATTATCATAAAAATATAAATCTTCCTTTGTAAAAAACATAGAAAAGAAACATTAAGAAAATAAAAATTACTCACAATCCTATCACCAGTGGGTCATATGTCTAGTATTTTGCAGCTCATTATATTCTTTCAAACTAAGATTGTAACCTGCAATTTTTGGCAAGTATACATTGAGAACATGTTTTCCTGTCATTCCATAGCCCTCTATGACATTCTCTTTGGTAGATACATTGCATATTCTGTGGTGTGGATACACGACACACTTAGTAACCTCTTTTTATTAGATGTTGAGGTTGTTTCCTGTTAATCTTTACTACAAAGAACAGTCTTGGTTTTGATTTAGAAACATCTCTCCTGGTGTAGTCTAACTCGGCCCTGGCCCCACAGCAGGCAAGGCTGTGAGTTGAAGAAATGGCAGGTTGGGGGAGCCCAGGGGTCTGTTCTGCCCTCTTGTCTGCCTGATGAGGTTCTCCTTTGGCAAAATAGTGATCATAAATGTCACACTTCCCACAGCCCTGAAATTTCTCAAACTTTCAGGAACACTTAAGGAAAAGTCTGCAGATATGGAACATCCCCACTGAATGATGTGGAAGCAAAGTCGGGGGCCAGGTACGTGAATGTGGGAGACTGTCTCCTTTGCTACGTTAGGAATGCGATCCTGGCCTTTGAAACTTCCCTGTTCTTTCCCCATGCTCTCTTCCCCAGTTTCCACCCCAACTTGACTGTCCAAAGGGCTGGTTTGCCAGCTCTTATTCTATCAGTAGAGAGGGTGCCTTTTGCCTGTAAGCAACTGCTCACAGTCATGGCCATAGCCACAACCACAGCTGGGTCCTCCTCCAACATGAAGCACTGGCCTGTTCCAGCCCAGCAGGTAAAGCAATTCATCGAACTGTACAATGCCAGAACCATAAGGGACTACAAAGATGATCTAGTCCCCTATGCCCCTCTCCCATGTTATGAAAGAGCAGTGATGTCACCAATGCCATTGGGTTCCTGGCAGAGGTGGAACAGGAAAAGTGCCAGGAGGCCATGTGGCCACATGATTAATTACTGTGTATCTGGGGACAGGCTGGCTGGGTCAGTCCTGTACCCAACACTTCTGAGCTGTGTGACCTTGGGCAACTTATTAATATCCCTGAGTCTGTTTCTGTATCTGTAAAGGGGAATGGTACATATCATACTTACATCATAGGGTTGTTGTGAGATGTGTACGCGGCATGTTCCTGTAAGAAGTAGCTAGGGTTACAGTAACAAGGGCTGTTTTTGCAATGGCACCGACTCCCCTGTTCAGGACACAGCCCTCTCCACCAGATGCTTGGGTTAGAACCGCAGCTCATTTCCAGCAGCTGACAGAAGGATGCCTCTTCCAACAGAGACTCCTCTGAGTCGGTTTGCGGTTAGGATGCCCCCACATTAACCTGCTTGCTCCCACTGGCCACCTCCTTTTGCTAACCGCCAACCCGGCAGGCATTTGTGTGGAAAGAGTAGAGCATGCTGCCTGTGGTCTGTGACAGAAGTGTAACCACAGGGCCAGAGAAACGTAAAAACCTCGTCATAGCCCAGGGATGTACGTGGAGATGAACACATTAGCTCTGAAGGGCTCCTTTTCTTCCTAACAGACCCGTTAGGTTGTATACAGCCATCCCACCACATTTCTTCTCTCTGTTTAACTGAAAATTTTTCTTGAAATTAAAAATATTTAGGATTTGTTAAAAACAGATTTTGTTTCTTAAGGCCTATGGTTCTGGTGGCATAAAGAAATCCCAGTAAGAATGTCTATCTATGAATCTCTGTATCTGTTTACCTATCGTGTATCTGTTTTTTTAAGCAAACCAGTCTTAGTTAATGTCTGTCTGTTTAAGCCTCATTTTGCGGGTGACTCGTGATGCTGAGGCCTGCGTCGCTCCACACCTGGGACAGGGCATCCAGGAGGGAGAGGGGGTGCAGACGCTGAGGATTAGAATCACAAATTCTCAAAAAGCTGGGAAGAAAAACTAAAACCTCCTTTCTTTCTGACAGATTCTGTCAAGCCTTCTTTTACAGGATTTGGGAAATATTTTGATTACTTAAGGAAGCCTTTTTTAATCCGAGGAAACATTTTCAAGCGCAGACTGGCTGGGCATCTCAGGCCACTCCAGGTGCTCCGCACAGTGCTGTGGAGGCCTGTGCTCAAAGCCCCGGGTGCACCGCGGCCACGGGGGCCCAGACAGAGGTGCGGCCAGATGGAATCCCTCCGCTGGGTCCTGTTTCCGTTTACTCTCCTCTTCCTCCCCCTTCTTTCCCTCTGACTGCTTTAATGGAATTAACTTAACATTCCACAACCAAAATGAAAAACGACTAAACTGGCCTTTCCCCACACAAAACAAAACCATAAAATTAGATGATTAAATAAATAGCTAATTTACTTTTTGCTCAATAAATACAATGCTTTGACTTAAATTTTTTAAAATTTTTCCCCTTTGGTCATAATTTAAGCAGAGAGATTTTTTATTCTTTCTAATACGATCCTGCCTATATATTCAGAAAACCCTCAAGTTGTAATTTAATTTTTTTCACTCCTGGTAACCGTTCAAGCTGTGGCTGAAGCCTTAATCAGCCCTAGTTGGTGTTTACTCCTGGCCAAATGTGCTTGCAGCTTAGCCCCAGGAGTAAGTCTGCAGGTGGCCATGGTGTTTGTTGAATGAATATTTCTTCTTGTCAGAAATACGTGGGAATAATACCCCAGAATGGGGTGAATGAAACAGGCAGTGGGGACCTTGCTCCACTTGACAAAAAAAAAAAGAGAAGAAATGCCCCTTTTCTAGGGTGAGTCGGTTTGCCACAGAGAACACCAGAGAGCGTGGAGGGGGAAGAGTAGCCCTCTCCTGGTGAAGGACCATGCCACCCCACCGGCCCGGCCACCTTCCTGGGCGTAGAAGCTCTTCTGCCCTCACACCCAGATCTGGAGCCCAAGTCAAAACACGAACTGACCACATTTGTTGTGAGCAGCTGTGGAGTTACTGTGTGTGACCGCAGTGTGTCCACCTGTGCGGGCACACTCCTCTGGCAAGCACACAGTCTCTCCTGGGCAACGATGACATTAGAATATCCCTTTTTTGTCTTATTTGTCCAAAGTCAAACATTTACTCCTTCAGCTCACCAGTTATCTCGTAAGCCTGGTGCTGGCCCACACTGCTGCAGGGCTGGGACAAAGAGATGATGTTACAGTCTGGTTTCTATGGCAACAGAGGAGGGGTAATGAAAACTGAAATGTGGGAAACACCCCTGTCTGACAATTGTGACACAATTCAGTTTATTACAAGAACGTAACTACCAAAGAAGCAGAAGTGTTATTACCTGGCAGCTCATGTCGGCGAAAAGCTACACTGCACATTTCTCTTAGTCGGGCTGCTAAGAGGAAGGAAACATGAAACACACACACGCCTCGTTTTCTGCATGTAAAATGTGTGTGTTCTTTAAAAGCCAGTGGTTGGCTGGTTTTCCGGACATGATGTGGTTGAAGCTGTCACCGTAATGGAAATTCATTGCTGTAGCTATGGTAAATCGAGTTTTCTGCCTGTGCTGAATGCATTAGTCTAATGAGATGTTTGCAGCCGGGGAGCAGGGCTGCTGGAGACTAACTGTGAGCTACTAACACACGGGTGGAAGATTAGCTTTTGCAGTACTCGGTGTGCAGGTACTGAAAGTCTTCTGTCTTCTGAGTCAACATTCCCGGCCTGGGAAAGAACCTGATCAGGGCTCTGGTGAACAAGCCGTAGGTAAGGGAAAGACACAATCGGAGGGTGTGCCGTGGACACGGGATCCTTCTTTCTACTGTCAGCATGACAGGTTACCTGGTTCAGTTCTTCTGGGTTGCATGCCTGCCTCCGTGCCACTGCATGAATGGGCTGCACTGAAACCACTGAGGGCGGCGGGGAAACTTTAGTTCCTTCTACTCGAAAGACAACATTCGATTTCTGCATCAGCTCTCAGAGGGGGAAGATGTAGTATGGCATTATACAGTTTATAAATTTTGGATATATACATGCTCACTACTCTTTAACTCTGCATTTAAATATGTAGAAAGTTGCTCCCCACCCCCCAAATGTGAACTCAAATAACTGCTTAGCTTTTTCTTTTTACGGTGATGCTTCTGCTTTGCTTTGTTTTTTTAATTAAAAAATTTTTAATGTATCGTAGGTTAAAAATATTTACCTAAAATTTAATTTTTAAGATCAGTGTGTGGTGAACATTCAAGTGTGGTTTTTTGAATTGAACTTTATTTTTTGTATACCAGATAGAATATTTTACGTGTCTTTGTGCTGATGTTTCTGAACTGACCAGGATGGATAAGAATATTTACTGCTGGTTGCTGGTGCTGGTTAGTTTTGGGGAAAAGCAAAAATAAACAGGTGAATATGGAGTCTCAGGAGCAGTCTTCCCGAATTCAAATGCACAGAGTCACCACCTTCCCAGGTGGGGTGTTGTGTGACTTGAACCCATTTGCACGTGTCCCTCCTGGTGGCACAAGGCTCCCTCCCCAGGTTGTTAGCTGAGCAGGAAAGGACCGTGGATGAGGGTGAGGTGCCGGCTTCATGTAAGTCATTTCACTGATAGTTGAGGTACAGAGTCACAATCTTTCCCTCTACCTGTCACAGCAAGGGACAGGTGGCTCATGGTGGTGTCTCCATGCTCCATGATGGTCCTCAGCAGGGCTAGCCCATCAGCAGCCTTATGAGGAAATGGCTTTTTGGTTGGTCTCTGACACTGTGGCTTGGGAAAGAGATCCAGGAGCTTCAGAATTGAGATGTTGGTTGCGTCCTCTGTATTTCTTCCTTTTCAACCAGAGGATCCATTTTTAAAGAGTGAGAGAGACAGCTGCTTCCCCACTACCCACGCCCCCCACCCCAAGACTTTTTTCTTTTTAAGTAAAACAATATTTGGAGTGAAAGCATAAAAATAACTGTGACAGAATTTACAGTGTGGGTAGTTTACAGGGGTATCATGCCCGCATGGAGTATTTTTGTTGTTGTTGTCACTTGGTAGAGCTAGTCTGAAAAAATAAGGTGGGTCTTTGAGCAAAACCACCAGGCAAAGATTATCTAGAAAAGCAATAGTGATCATGTAAACTCAGATAAAATGTTAATATAGCACTGTCAGTTTTAGGAGAAGTCATTTGGTTGCCTCAAAATCTTAACCATTTAAACATATTTGTTACAGATAGTTTTAAAAATCTGAAAATGTTCTCTTTGGCTCTTTAAATTGTATATGTGGAAGGACTCTAATATTTTGGTAAATTTATCTGTCTGCTTGATTTGTGGAATTGTAAGAAAAGGGCAAATCCCACAAAAACCCAGTCCCCATGTGTTTACATTTCTTCCCTATGGCACAAAAATTACTTTTATTTTGCTGCAAAAAGTCGGGGGGAATAAGTGAATGATAATGGATAGAAAATAAAACAATGAGGAAAACCACAATAAATTGCTTTCCGTCATTTATTTGCTTTTGGTGGTGCATTTTCAGGCAAGTGAAACCAGCAGAAACAGTTTCACTTTCTGGTTCTTGACTCCTCAGGGCTGGGGTCCCAGGTGTCCCCCCACCAGCTCCAGCTGCAGGGGAGACAGGAAGACCAATGGCTGGAAATCCAGTCAACTCAAGACTGTCACCCTACTTTTAAGAACTTTTTTAATTGAAAATTTGAAAAAGTAATGACTTTTAAAAATGTTAAATAATATGTTTTATAATAAAAAGTCAGGCGATGCCTCAACGTACAAGGATAGAAATTTTTAAACTTTAAGTGATGTAAAAATCAGATTGTATTCAAGCTCTCAGAAAGTAGTGGCTTTTTTTAATCTCAGTTTTAGATCTCAAATACTTCAAGTTCAAGGAACACATGACTAAAGTTCCCTTAAATCAAAACAAGATACGCTCAGAGAGAAACAAGCTTTCTGAACATTTGGGGAGTTAGATTTTAGAACATTTTGCTTGTCTGTTTCCAGTTTGCATGTGGACACATCACACACCCATACTCTTGCCTGGTAAGACAGGGTAGAACCAGCTTTGGTTCCTGGCAGAGGAGGGAGTCGCAACTGGGAACTCACTCCCTGGGCTCAGGGCAGAACCCTGTGGGTCGCAGGTCCTCCCCAGCTCTTGCTCTTGGAAGCCTCAGCAATGCACTGGCTCCAGGGGGCCCTGGCGTGCTTGCCTCACTCCACCATCATGAAGAAAGCAGGAGGTGACTTGCTCCCTTGTGGGGCTGGGGGCTTCAGATTCCACTGCCTTCAATTTTTCTCTCTTGCTGCTTCTCTTTCCCCACCCCTCTGTTTTTACTCGGGGATGCTGTGGGAAAGAAGGGGGGAAAGGAGGAAAAACCCTCTTGCCATCTAACTATCAAAGAGCATAACATTTGGTCTCAGATTTTGGAGATGAAGTTTGTGAGACCTTCCCATTTGCTGTGATTACCTGGGTTTCTTCATTTTGGTGGGTAAACTTGACATTTCCAGGAATGAGTTTTGATTAAGTGCCTCCTTGGACATGTTCCTAATCCTGCAATTTCCCAAAAGGCTAGTTTGTGCTTTAAACGGTTTTAATGTTTTTGTTGCCTTGAAGGGCAGACAGGTGAGGAGAGACCAGGGGACTGAAAACAGCCCCTGGGAGAAAACTCAAATGGTTGAGTACAGATATAGTGTGACAGAAGCCACTACTGTGTCTAGTCAATTACTCTAAATTTTAATTAATGAGTCACAAAAGCCACACCATGAGCTTTAAAAAATTACCCCTTTATCAATAAGGTGATAATTAACTTGCTCTGGAATTAACAATTCTCTCAGCCCCGGGCAGTATGTTAGTAAGTCATCTGGAATGCTGCCAATTTTAAACAATTGGTCTTTTGGCAAACTTACTGGATTTTAATTCAAACATCTATTGTGACATTTTCCAACACAGTTCAAAGACCATTAGGATCATGCAAATCCTAGTGGAATTTCTGAGGTTGAAAGAGTGGCTCAAATGTTTAGGTTGCATTTAAATCTGTTGCTTCTCTTTCTTTATTTTCCTTTTCTAACCCCCACCCCAAACCCCTGCATTTTCAAGAGTGCACACTCCGGTCTCCGCTATAAATCTCTGCTGTAAGTTGCTGCGGCGAATCCTGCATGTATTTGTTGTTACGTGTATAACCAAGTTCTGGTGCTCTGACTGCAAGTCCACAAGGTCCTAAATGTCTTTGATTGTTGCTGCCTTCATCTCGGTTTTAGTTCTGGCAAAGGTTCATTCCTTAATATTTCTGCAAACTCTCATCACGGTTTGTCAGATGCTGAGATTTAGATTGAGACTTGAATCAGAGAACCTGCGGCAGAAGGGCCATTTTGGTCACGTTTAGGACTGTTTGAATTTTGGCTTATTATGACCAGCACATACTAAAGTCTGGAGAGGCATAGGAGCATTGGGCATTTCAGAGCAGCCTGCTCCGCAGTGGACCCCCTCAGACTCTCTCTTCCTCTCTCTCTCCCTCTCTCATTCTCTCTCTGGCCGTCACTGGTGGGCGGCACTCAGGGGCAGCCCTGTGAGGGATGCTGCCATTGGGCCCCAGTGCACAGTGTCTGGAAGGCAAGTGGTGACGGGTGCAAATCACCACTGACTTCAGAAGTCAGACCTCTCTCCCCTCTCTCTGGATTTTCAGTGTTAGCATTGGTGGGCTCCTGCTTCTCTCGGCCAAGAGATTGGCTTGGGGATGCTGGTGACAAAGCTTCCTGCTGGGGGAAGCTGGCAGTTCTGACAATCAGGAACATCCCTGCCTTTAGAAGGGTGGGACGGAGATGAGCAGCGAGCAGGAGTTGTGCATTCTGGAATAGATACAAATTTTTAAGTCAGAAGAGGCACTTTGCCGCCATTGAGGAGATAAAATACCTCTTGCTTCTTGCAATGATTACTTTGTGGACTACTATTTTCAGACGAAAAGGAATTTATTACCCTGTGGCTGTTCTCACTTTGTATCAAGCTAAAAAGTCATTCTATTGAGCCTATGCGACACCCTGGAGTGATGGGAATGTATTTTGAGACGCACATTGCAAGCTTCCCAGGGGTTGCTGTTGTTACTGTTTGGCCATTTGTGTCTTACAGAGAATCTGGTGGCACAAAACCTTATGAACTCCTCTTTACCTTCCCACCAACTCAGACATATTCTACCCAAAGTTTTGTTTGTGGGAAGTCAGATGTGCATTTCCTTTTTGGTAGATGCATTTCTTGATCAGATAAATGGATCCTGGTCCCAGTGTTGCCGATTTTCAGAAAGATGGCACTCTCTGGTGGCCAGGCTGTGCCAGCCCTTCCCTCACACGGCATCTGACACGGAGGCACAGGAGTGGGGCTGGCTGTTGGGGGAAAACTGCTGTGCCAGGAAAAGGCTGTCAGCACTGTGCTTTGAAAGCTGGGGATGGCAGGGCAGCTTTCAAAGCTGCTGGTGATGGCAACTCAACTTCTGAGAGCTGGATATTTGGTAATAAAATTTTACTTTCCCAGGCTGATCATTACAGAGCAAAAGCCCTCATCCTTTCAAAACAAAACAAAACAGAACAAAATATGACTTGAAAGTAACCCTAAAGAAATATGGAGATTTTTATGAAAGTGGAGACTACATTTGGAAACAAATGCTGAGCTGGGCAGAGCCAAGAATTCCCCGGGTTGGGTCCCAGTCCAACCAAGGGGAAATGGCACTGAACACAGAGGTGCTGGGCTAACACTCAGAAGAGAGAGAGAGTTCCATTCCCCCTTCCAGATGAGA